AATGATGCGAATCTTACTAATTAACCCATAGCTTAGGGGAGAAGAGATGTATTCAGATTTTTTTCAAGGGTATTTGCGCATAAGTGAATATAACGAATCCAACGGGAATTAGAACTTGTCTCTCCGATTAGCAACTCTCAGCCATTGTACAATGTTCCAGTCTCACATCTAAGTTTCTCAGTATCCTTATTGAAGGAAAACAAGGAATTACCACCATATTGATGCATGTTCATGGCAGTCCGAGTAATGTCGTCATTAGCATAAAACGAAATGAATTTATTGAAACAAAGTAACTATAAACAATAAACAAAATATCGTTAGCGTTTCTAAATTCTTTTAGTTGCTAATGAGAATTTATTTGTTGTTTTTAGATACTTTGTTTCAATAAATCCATTTCGTTTTTTGCCTTGAAATGCCCACATTGGACGAAATGCGTTGGCTAAAACTACAGTTTTATTTTTTCGTTTATATATATATATATATATAAATATATATATATTGGTTGGTATATAATCCGGGTGGATCCTAGTAATAGTAATTATTAAAACTGATACACAGAAAACTCGATGTGTTTATTATAACAGAACATATATATTTTTTACATAAAAAAAACAAAAATTACCTCAACATGGTATAGTCTCTTTCAGGCCTTTTTGTACGCGGCTATCATCAGCCACGAAGTGTCTGTCTCGGAGCATTGTGTTAAATTTATTTTCAATGTCAGTCCTCCTCTGGTAGACGCCTTGTTAATGAGAATGGATTTGTGTTAGCGATTGTTGGTGGGGGCCTTAGCTGTCTTATCCCAGAGGGAAGCGGTCTAGGGTTGGAGTTTATTTATGGCCATGACCTTTCGTTGTTTGTATTTTAATATCAGTTCCTACTAAGTGGCGTTTCTTATACGAGCCTCAAGTGTGTTTCTATGGGATTCCCAGTAAATAGTTTTTGTTCTAAAGGTGTAGTAAAAAATACATATTCTACAAAAACTATTACATATATTCGGTTGTTAGTAGGGTGTAGAATTCCTGGAAAAGAGGGAACACAAAAACTTAGAAAAGCTATTCAACTGCTCATTTCGCCCGTCATAGTCTGAAATAAGAGACAAACCTCTCCGTGTAGAATGGGTGTTCATTGATTGAAAAGTGGTAATAAATAACAATAAAGACAACTCATCAGTTGTTGCGGTTAATGAGTCGGTGTTTTACTACTGACGCGTCAAACGCCTGCTGGAGTTGAAATTTAGCATACTCCGAGTATTTTTTTCTATTAATTCGTACGATGATGAGTGTGTAGACTGGGGTTTACCTGGTGGAACAGCAAAATTGTCCAAATCGTGTAACACCATACGATAATTTTCTATCCCACGAAAAGGGTTAATATCTAAAAAAAAAAAACACTAAACTAATTGTTTCTTTTTTCCAGATATTTAGTCACCTTGACACTATCAATGGAAAATCCTTTGAGTTACTCAGATAGAAAGAGAACAGGTTAACATCATTTTGTATCAGCCTCACCATGTCTTCCCAGCTGAGCAATGGTGAGAGGAAAAGATCATTCTGATCAAAATCCATTGAAGAGCCATCATGAGAACGGCGAATAAGTTTAGGAAAGAAGGAAGAGTAGAGAAGAAACCTGGGTCAGAATGTTACAACAGCAAGGGGGATAAACTTAGAGCTCAACGAATCCTTATTGCTCAAAGTGGAGTCTAACAGTGTTATAAAACACCTCGGAGGATTCCAGAGATATATATTTAATCATTTCTAAGATACAACGATAATATTTTTTTCAAATTTTAATTTAACAATTGGATAATTTTGCTCTTACACGATTTGGACAATTTTTTGAAAATTATGAGGAAAAGTTTCATTGACCAATATAAAGACACATACTCTCTCTCTCTCTCTTTCTCTCTCTCTCTCTCTCTCTCTATATATATATATATATATATATATATATATATGTGCATGTGTGTGTATTTATCACTGGCCTTCAGAATGCTTTATCTCTTTTTCATTGATTAAAGTGTTTGCCTTTTACTCGTGCAGCAGGTAGTAGGTACATAAAAGCTTCTGCAACTCACTCGGTCATCGATTTCAGTCCTACTTTATATCGATCCAGGAATGTTATGCAGTTTCCTTAGCAGCACGGTCATGTAGTTCCAAAGGCATGTCACTGGTCTTCGGCCTGGTATGTCTCTTATCATCTTTTGTTCAATTGGCACATTTCCACGCGGCACCGCTTTACCTGTAGCCGGAAGGACTATAAAAGTTTTCCGGAAATCACTGGAATCACCCATCAATCGTCGACGTGCGCCCTGTTATATTCACGAGAACTAAAGTCGAGAGAAATTCCTAACACGTCTCAAATATAGTGTGTGTTTAATTTATACAACAATTTCCTTATGTTGCTGATGAAACATGGCGTCAAATAATGTGCTTAATTTTGGGTCCTTAAACAATCAACAACCCAATCACTTCCGTTCGTCAGTCCGTCAAGTTTTTCGAGAAGCCACTTTTATGTAAGTCTATATTGAATGATATCATTTTGTTTTATTACATACTGTTTTGGATACATATTTTTCTAACAAATTTAAAATAACAATGAACACAAAAGGTGTGGCAGGAGGAGTTATATGCATTGTTAAGAATAACTTTGAATCATGTCGTAATTGGATTGCGCTACAAGCAATATTTGCATCTTCTTCCAATGAAAGGAAGTTTATTGGAATGCACCTTCATTTTAAATGATCTGTGCATTGCTGCAAAGAATTCTGCGAAATCCTTGATTTGTATTCTGCTGGAAAATATTATGTACATTGAACAAGTAAATATAATTGCAGAATTAGCTCATATATATACATATATATATATACGCTAAATGCTATGAATCGAGCATTCTTTTAGCCAGCAATGCTTATATATTGTATATTTAACACATTATATACAATATATAAGCATTGCTGGCTAACGGGCGCTGATGGACTAATGTTGGTTTTCGATCACCAATGGCATGCCTAGACACACTGATGATCTGTGATACAGCGGAACAGTCTGTCTGTGGATGCCCCCTCCTGTAGGTTGAGCATTTTGGAAGAAAGGGAATTTGTCGGCTGCTGCTAATTCACGCTAAAAGCTCTTCGCTATGAATTGAGCACTCTGGTAGACGGTAATGCTTATGTCTCGTATGTAATGCGTTAAAAATTCCCTTTCTCCGCCGCGTGCGCTGATGATGAGAGCGGCCTACTGCTGTCCAATCGGTCAGGTTTCGATCCCGGCTTGAAACAATATATATAATTATTTTTATAGCATTTACTATAATGTTAATATTTGTGTGTGTGTGTGTGTGTATATGTGTGTGTGTGTGTGTGTGTGTGTGTGTATATATATATATATATATATATATATATATATATATATGGACGAACGATATAAATATATAGGGAACAAGTCTATATAACGAATAACTTAATATGAAAGGTTAATAAAAGTGAAGCAAAATGGAAAAACGTGCGCATAACTAAGGTATTATACATTGTTAGCCCTAATCTTTGTGAAGAAGGCGCATTGAAATAGCAAAAAATGTCTTCCAAAAGCTAAGCAAAGTATTAAGAAAGAAGAATATTTCAATAGAAACGCAGAAAGGAGTACATGGATATTATATATTATTTTTCCACTCATATGACTGTCAATCTCTACAGACTGTAATACTCTTGTTTCTTAATACTTTGCTTAGCTTTTGAAAGACATTTTTTTGCTATTTCAATCTACACAGATAAAGATGACACTTGAGACATTACGAATGTGGTTCTACAGAAGGAGGCTGCGAAAACCATGGACTGAACAACGATGATGCTTTAGACAAAAATGGAAACAAAATGGTTACTTATAGGTAGAACCAGTTAAAAACAGAGAGAATTTCTGGGACACATAATGAGGAAAGAAGGCATAGAAATTTAGGCACTCAATGGATATATGGAAAGTCAAAGAGACAGAGGAAACCAGCTTTTGTATTACCCAGCAAACTTATGTAAATGGTTGGCAGAACAGGTATTAGGAGGGAGAGAAAAAAAAAGACAAAATTTACTTAGAAGGGAAAGGAAGATGTAGAGAGCCACGATCTCCCATATCTTGAAAGGACATAAAAGAGGAGGACACCTCATGTGTTTGTTATATACATACTGAGGGAGATTATTTCGAAAGAGAAAGTGGAAACTAGATGATATAAATAATTTTATGTGACAAAAATCCTCGAATAACAATCAAATATATATATATATATATATATATATATATATATATATATATATATATATATATATATATATATATATATATGTGTGTGTGTGTGTATAAAATAATAATAATTTTATTAGAGTCTTATCTAGAGAATTATAAAAAAATATATATTTCTGAGAATAAATGTCTCAAAAGAACAGTCTGCGAAAGATTTTTATCATCATTGCAGCATCTGACTTTGAGAGGAGGCAATTTTCGAATTCCACGAAATATTTTTTCTATAAGATTCAGTAATGGGATACGCGAAGCCTTGATTGTACTGTTGCGTTCTCTATTCAATCGACCTACTTGTTTAGCAAATTAGAAACAATTGAGCCCAGCTCAAGCAATTTACTGCGCAGTAATTCAGTGAATATGGCATCTCAGTTCTCGGTTGATATGACAAAGCATCCCATATCGATGCTGAAGAAGATGGAACGGTTATTGAACAAATGCTGTGCGCATGCTCACAAGTTAACCTTTAGAACCACACCCATTTACAATGCAGCTTGGCGATTTCTGCAGCATCCAATGCTTATATAAGCTATTCGTTAAGGCAAGCATATTTTAAATAATGTATCCTTCTACTGTGTTGTTACAGATGCTTTAGCATAAGTACTTACTTAAAGCGACATAGGAAAGGAAGTTGTCGACGGCCATAGTCGTCCACGTCCTGAAGGAACAAAGGGATATAGAAGAAGGATAATTTCGTTCCATAAAATCAGAGGCTTACGGTTATATCATGTTTAAAAAACAGGTTCTCATAGGATTACCGAAATTAAGCAATATCGAGCTTGGTCAGTAGCTAGATGGGTAACCGTTTGAGAATACCAGGTGTTGCAAGCTCAGATGTGCAGGTGGTGTAACCAATAATGGATCGGAATTGTTAATCGGAGAGCCGAGTTTAATTCCAGTTGGATTCGTTATATTCAATTAAGCGCAAATATTTTTGGGAAATGTACGAATCAACCTTTTCTCATCCAGCTCTGTGTTAATTAATAAGACTTTTATCACTAAAAATATATTTCTCCTCCCCCTAAAAAACATTGCGTATAAGAATTTAGATTTCGTCGTTAAATAACCAATACAGGTTCTATATGCCACTAAAAAGCAGCTAAACCAAACTATTTATTACTTAAAAGAACAATATCTGTTTATATTTCTGAAATGAGGTATTATGTACACTATTTCCATTATTCGGACTATTGTCCTCATCTTTGTCGCCATATTTATTACAAAGTTTCGGCCGTTGTATACTCCGGCTTTCTTCAAGGATACATGGCACAGTGGATAAAGTCGTTGGTTAGATCCAGTGACAGGAACCAAAGAGTGTGAGTTCAATACCCGGTTAAGGCAGTGGAGAACTTGGAGAGGGGAATTAACAGGAGATAACTGATAACTGACATCCATTAAAACATGACACGTGGAACTAGAACAGTCTATCCCAGTGAGCGAAATAAAGAGTTCAGTTCGACATTTCAACCACCTGAAGAAGACCGGAGCGTACAACGGCCGAAACGTTATAATAAATATGGCGACAGAGATGAGGACAATAGTCCGAATAATGTAAATAGTGTTAAAATAACAACATAAAAATAAACAGTCAACTGCCTGCTTAACCGTGAATAAAATAAACAAAAACTATACACACTCTTTGATTTTGATTAAGAGATGACTCTTTTTCCATAAGCATTAGTTCATTTTACCATATTTTTCACTCAAAATGAATTCATTTGACTAGCAGTTACGAGCAGTTAATTTTTACGACCATATCAAGTCAAAACACCAGTTGCCGTATTACCACCGAATTCAAGTCACGTCGAGCCTAATCAGTACCTTGGGGGTTGACAGCTTGGCAATATCAGTTGCTGTGGGTGGGGTAAAGGAACTTGGAATTGTTAATCGGAGAGTCGAGTTCCCATTCCTGTTGAGTACGTTATATTCACATATGCGCAAATATCATTGGAAAGTTCTGAGTTTTCTATCTTCTTCTCCCCAGGTATGGGTTAATTCGTTGTTATACCGGAACGTACTTATTTCTATTGTAAATAGACTCTCCCATAGATAATAAGTAGTAGTAGCAGCAGTCGCCAGTGAAGCTCAGTGAGTTGTGTGAGTCAGTCGATGTCGGACATTAAAGTATGAGCCCCACAACTAGATTGCTGCGTCATTAACAATTACTTCAAGTTCCTAACGTTTTGTACGTCGAACCTAATTTAGGACCGACTTAGTGAAATACAAGCCTCCATTGTGAAAACTACTCTACAACATTAGTAAGACTGTATCACTAAATCAGTATTATCTCCCTTCCACACAAAAGTCATTATTAAATATAAATATATCTTCTGGCTTTAAATAACCCGCGAAAGGTTAATAGTGATTTTCCAAGCATAGCTTGGATATGGCACAAGACCGAAAGTAAGGATCGAACTCGCTACTCAGGCGTAATTGTTCTAGCAAGACAAGCCTGCTAACCATTACACCACCTCGAGCCCCCTCTCCCCCGCAGCAGACAATTTGTTCATATACAGTGGGGTTGAATAAGTGATCGTACAGGAAACAAATGCTTGTTATTCTCACTTATAGCGAATGAAAACCTCGAATAACAATGTTATATATGTATTTTGGGGCAAAGACTGAGACCCTATAACTTCGGCCTTGTGCCACATCTAAGCTATGTTTGGAAAATTAATATATTTGATTCTTTGACATTACGGTGGAGTAATGGATAACATATCGCAGAGCTGTGCTCGAATTCCAGTCGTATAATTACATTTACTTACGTGCCAATACCCTTGGGATCCTCTTCTTCTTCTTGCAATACCCTTGGGATCCTCTTCTTCTTCTTCTTGCAATACCCTTGGGATCCTCTTCTTCTTCTTGCAATACCCTTGGGATCCTCTACTTCTTCTTGCAATACCCTTGGGATCCTCTTCTTCTTCTTGCAATACCCTTGGGATCCTCTTCTTCTTCTTGCAATACCCTTGGGATCCTCTTCTTCTCCCAGGTTTCGGTAAATAGCAGTACAGACGGTTTTCTATAGCTTTGGGTGGCAGCCGGTCTAGGAGAAGGAAAACTCTGAATTCAAAACCAACCTGGTGAGGGTTTGGCTCCGTCAGGCTATCTTGTCCAAGAAACGCTACTTCTACTGTGGCTGCAGTACACATGTTGCCGCATTTTTATCACGCGATAAAAAACAAAAAAATACTTGAATTCAATTTACTTCTTGAACAGATGCATCTAATGTTTATCAAGGTTCTTTGTTAAAAGTAATTTCGTCTGTAATTTGTCTTTTATTTTCCAGTATTAATGTATTTGTTGTTCCATATGTTCTGGTCAGATTTTTAGAACCTAAGGCATTTCATGATTCGTAGTTTTCTTAAATTGCTTCTTTGAAAACATAGCATTTAATATGACAACACATTATAGAATTCCTTAAGTTATTCTTCCTTCCTCATAATATCTGGTTAAAGAGGACATGTTTCAGACTGAAATTAAGTTTAGTAAATTTAGTGTAATGTAAAGACATTGATATATATCCCGATAAAATATGCTCAAAGAGTAGATCAATAATCGCCGAGCAATTTATTACTGCTGCTATGATGTCGATCCTCATTGGGTTTGTTTCATTTTTGCCTATATGTAACGCTATCATTGTAAAGGGTTAGTATTTTTTTTTAAACGTTTCACCCCAAACAAGCCACTAGGACGCAAGGGGTTACAGAAGATTTGGAGCAAGATCAGGAGTGATTGAGGAAAGGATGAGGAGAAGGATAGTGGATAGATCAAGTCAACTGTAGATGTCGATTGAAATTATATTTGAATAGGAGATTATAGCTCTCAAGAAAACAGGAATAGGAAAGGGAGTTCCACAGGCGAGAGGTGCGAGATATGAAGCTATTGGAGTAGAAGAGACAGCTACATTTAATAGTTTCGACAGTGAAAGGGTGAGAGTGGGATGCCAGCCTCGTAGGGCGCTTGAATTCATGAAGTCTGGGGACCAGCGAATGCAGCTGCTCGGAGCAATTACCATGAAAGTTATTTGTAAAACAGACAGAGAGAGGCGACGGCGCGTCTGTGAGAGAGCGACTGTAGACGAGATGCCAGATCAGGGACAATTATATTGCATATCCGCCTCTGGATCTTATATAGGACCCCGAGGCAAACAAAAGGGTCTCCAGACCATATATGGCAGCAATACTCCATGCAAGGGCGAATTGTTGATTTGTAGATTTGAAGCATCGATTCCAGGGAGAATTACACTATTTATATTGTTCGGGCTAATGTCCTCATCTTATTGTCATATTCCCGGTTATTTTTTGCCGTTCTGCTATCCGGCCTTCTTCTGGTGATATACGTTGGAATTTCGAATCGATCCCTTTATTTCATCCACCCGGGAAGATTGTTCTAATTCTACCTGTCATGCCTTTTCTGGATGCCTCAGTTTTAGTTATCTCCCTTTTAGTAACTCAACTCCCACGATTTTGATCACCTCTGCTGCGACCAGGTATTGAACACTTAACCTTTTGCAACACATGGACTAGTGGAGAAAAGCATTGGTTGAAGTAATCCAGTGACGTGACACAAAGAGTTGTGAGTTCAAAACCTGGCCACATCAGAGGTGAACAAAAACTTGCAGACTTGAGTTACTAAAATAGAGTTAACTGAAACTTAGATATCCGGAAATTGCATGGCACCTGGAACGAGAACACTCTACCCATGTAGTAATAAATAGGTATTATGCCTCACCTCAGAAATATAGACAGATAATATGAACACGAGGTTAAATCGCCGATACGCAACATTGTGGTTCATTAACTTTTAGACTTCATCAATAACTATAGATTAAAGAGTATGTGGCTTTTGTTTGTTTTTGCGAACGTGGAATATTCTCCTCACAAGGATATTAGGGGATCTCTGTCTTTTCCATCTTGGATAGGGCCCTTATGCAACTTCCTATCACTCGATTATACCCCGTGTGCATCTCAAGCGGAGGATAGGCCACCTCTTTCGATATCGGTGGTAGAAAATGACACCTTTTGAGGCACGAATCTGCGCGTAGTTGATATGAGGTCACATTCCAGTTCAACCCTCTGATACAACTGTCACATTTAATCGCTGTTGTGACACAGAGTACAAAATTTACTTGAGTATCTCTTAAGGTAACCCAGGAACATATTGAGGTCACCAGAGAACAACTTGTCTTAGAATACAAAGTCTTTATTGACCTATTAAATTCTATCCAGAACTTTTGGTATCTTCTGGTGTGAATCAAATACTACAAAGAGTCACATCACACTGTGGTTAGATTAGTAAATAGCCACAGGCAAGAAAATTGGTCCCCATTAAAAAAATCAATCTAATTGCTATATTAAAATATGTACACACACGCGTACACGCACACACACACACACACACACACACATATATATATATATATACACGCATACATATGATTAAATATAAGTATCTGTCTATATTTCTGAGTTGATGTATTATGTGCACTATATTATTCGGACTATTGTCCTCATCTTTGTCGCCATATTTATTACAACGTTTCGACCGTTTTACGCTCCGGCCCTCTTCAGGTGGTTGGAATGTCGAACTGAACCCTTTAATTGGCACAGTGGATAAAGGGGTTAGTTAGATCCAGTGACAGGACCCAAAGAGTGTGAGTTCAATATCAGGTTAATTACCAGGAGATAACTGATAACTGACATCCATTAAACATGGCACGTGGAACTAGAACAGTGAGCGAAATAAGGGGTTCAGTTCGACATTCCAACCAGCTGAAGAAGGTCGGAGCGTACAACGGCCGAAACGTTGTAATACATATGGCTACAAAGATGTGGTCAATAGTCCGAATAATGTAAATAATGATTAAATATAGTTTTAAGGTATTTTATATTTTTAAGTTTAAGTACTTAGTATCGGGTATAGACCGTATATAAATTAAAAGTAGATATTGATGTCAACACCGAGCAGAAAATATCTGTTTCATGTTTAAACGTAGTCTTCAGGCCAGAAGATGCTGTTTAAGCATAAGCAGACGGTCATCGCAGCTTTCAACTGTCTATTTCTGATTATAAGTATACATTTCCTGGTTGCTGCTGTCTCCTTTAAGAATTCCGCCTTGCTCACATGTTATGTCTATGGTATTCTTAGTATTCATCAGTAGAACCGCATATCTATCTATTCAAGTCTCTCCTTCACGTGTGAAGAAGTTCTCCAGACTTCACTGCAGGACAGGAGATTAGATAACACATCGCATTACAAAACTCTTTCTGCTCCTATAGAAAATAGCCAATGTTCTTAAAATATCCCAAACTAAAATTGCAAATCACTTTCCTCTGTTTGGTCAGGTTAATTGCAGTTGTACTTAGCTTGAAAAACAGTGGAATATAGAGGAACGTCTGTCCCTTCTTCTAATGAAAGGAAATAAGAAAAAGATATCGTACTTTTCGTTTATTGCATTAGATATAGTAATGTGGGGAGCCAGAGATGATACAGGAGGCTACAATTGAAACCGGCCGAACATAATCTTAAAGCGTCGCAAATTTGCAATATTTTACAAACATAATAATATATACATTATATAAACATCATTTTCGTTTGGATATATTTGATATTTTTGGTGGCCCTACATATGCAAAATTATTCTGGAATATTTTGTAAAAAAGATGAAAAATTTGTTTACATATTTCCTTCTGAAAACAATAGCATTTCTGCAATTATACATAACATCTCTTTTTCTTGTAACTTTTTTTATAAGTTGAAACTTATGAATCAATTGTTAAAATTAGACATACATTTTTAAATATAAAAAGTAGACGAATTCATATTAGCATAATTTCTATTTTCATTAGTAAGCTGATTTATTAAAAAAAAGTATGATTTCGTGTGATTTCTTTAGGGAAACAGAATGTTTAATGAGACCGGTGTAATTTAAAATTCAGTCTGATGTATTTTAAATTTTATAGAGCTAAATTTATTTTTTACTCTTTTCATTATGATAATTTGCTATTAATAAGAACTCAGGATGCAGAGCTATTTCTTTTTAGCACGATTTTCATACTTATTTATAAATAGTGATTTAAAATCAACCAATCACAGAACAGAGTTCGAGGAAGACGCGAAAAATGGCAACCGTGATCGTCTTGCGAACCACTGGACGATGCTGAGCGCCTCTTGTCGAAGCGGGCGATCATATGACGGTTTTCATCGTCGAAGTTTTCTAAACGAGTTGACGTATTTTGACATTAATCCACTTTTATTGGAGGCGGGACGTAACCAGGTAGGAAACCCTGACGTTGAATGATTTAGGGCAGTAAACTCTAAGTCAGGCGAGAGTGCTATTAGAGTAAAATTAATCACATTAATTAAACTCGGCACTAGACGAGACTGACAATTGTAGTCACGATAAAGATAAATCCTAAAGCGGAGGACTTGGATATCTTTGGGCAAGTTCACTTTCACTTTCACTTTCACTTTCCCTATCGTCAAAGTGACATAAATTCTTTTCTACTAATTTAACAGCGAACGACGTTTTGCAATTCACATTATAGCCCATCAGAAAACGTTTACACAGATTAACAGTATTAGGATTTTATTTTTGGTGTTTAGATGCTTTTATTTTGTTGTGTGAGTAGGTTACGTATTTTATAAGGTGTCTCATTAGTTATTAGTTCCATGAGACTGCCTTATGAAGTATATGGCCACAGCCGCACTACGCTAGATGCTGCTGCTGTGGTTTTTGAAGAAAGTAGTTTTTACAAGATGAATTTTTCAGATAAAGAACAAGCCGGTTTTGTTTTCAGGATTATTTTTCAGCGAGTTTAGGTAACATGCAAGGTTAGACATTCTTGTTTGCTCTGCTGTTTAACCCATAGTTTGAATGAGAAAAAATGTATTCAGACCTTTCCTAAGGGCATTTGTGTGAAGGCAACCAACTCGGCTGGAGTCTGAACTCGACACTCCGATAACCGCTGATATCCTTCATTTTGCAAGGTTAGCGAACATACGGCATAAAACGCAATGGAGAAGGACATGTATAAATAGCAAAAAATGACCTGAAATGAATTAATTGTTAAGAGTAAACTTTGAATATAATATGTAAAGTGTATTTATAATTTTAAAAAGAGCTAAACATCAACTGTAAGAAGACAGAATGCTTGGTTGCCAGCAAAAGGACAGCGAAAATGCGAATTTCAAACTGGAGATATAAAAATCAAACAATTATAAAATCTTAAATATCTATGTAATGTTTTAACAAAGGACGAAAAATATGACACTGAGATTCAACGGCGCGTTTGAACTGCGAATAATGCCTTCTAAAATCTAAGCAAAGTATTAAGAAACAGGAAAATTTCATGAGAAGCTGTTGTAATATCACTCGTCTCATATGATAGTGAATGCTGGACAATCTCCCTACAGTTAAACAAGACTCTTGCGGCAACAGAAATATGGTTCTACAGAAAGATGCCTAGACTTCCAGGCAGAGAACATTTGAGCCAAGAGGAAGTTTTAAGACGAATGGAAACAAAAGATCCCTTACACTTAGAATCAGAAAGAGACTATTTAAATTTCTAGAACAGATAATGAGGAAAGAGGGATGTACGAATTTGATACTCACGGGACATATCGAAGTTAAGAGGGTCATGAGGAAATTAGAGAGTAACTTCTTAAGGAGGTCGTGCGAATGGATATCAGAACAGGATGTGGCAGGAATGGTGAAAAGACAAACTTTACTAAGAATTACAAAAGACAGGAAATTGTCGAGATCCATAATCGCCTATGTATTAAAAGGACATGAGACGTAGAAGAATGTAAAAAAATATCTGTGACACTTTATTGTACTAGTTTTTTCTCCCTTGACTGACAGATTCTAGTGGCACTAATGCTAGGAGTAATATTATCCGATTCCTTATAAGGAAACAGTCATTGATCAAGCAGCTAGTGAGAGAGAGAGAGAGAGAGAGAGAGAGAGAGAGAGAGAGAGAGAGAGAGAGAGAGAGAGAGTATCTCCCTTTTAAGATATCCGGAAGAGGCATTTCACATGGAACTAGAACAATCGTTCAGTTAGAAATTTCAATCACCTGAAGAAGACCGGAGTGTACAACGGTGGAAACGTCGTGAATATGAAAACAAAGATGAGGAAAACAGTCCGAACAATGTAAATAGTCTAAATCATTACAATGCCTCATTCCAGAAACATAGCCAGATAATGAGGATATTAGTTTCAGCAATTAATGGAATAATGACATTGCTTTATTCCAAACAATATTTACGAATATGACGCTATAATTAGCACTCATTTTTGTATATTTAAATAATTTCAAATGCTTTAGCGATAATAAAAAAAAATCTAGTTTCAGTTACATCGTAGATCCTATATGCTCACTATTGGACTAATTGTTTGAGGAGAGAGAAGATCGACCTGTTTCAATCCTTCTCATATAGTTCTTCGCATGAAATTAGAAACTTAGCCTTGGGTATGAATCTTGTAAAGTGGCGTATCGGTCTCCTGGTTCGCTAACATAGCCCTAGGAAGTTGTAATCTACTGCTGAGCCTTTAACTTTAATTACTGTTTTTTTCATTTAATTTTCCTGTAATCATTTTGGGAGAAAAGAAAAAATAAATAGAATACAAGAAAAAAAAAAATAAAACAAAAAACGGTGAAGGTTAAATGTAAATAGAGAACGAGAACAAAAAGACCCAAGGGAGAGTCTCCACGTTTTATTTAATTTTTTAATACTTTATAAAATAAAACAGAAAAAAAATTAAAAAAATGATAATCATGCAGCCGCAAACTAAATAAAGGTTTTATTCTGCTATTCTCATAAACGATGCTTTTCAAGAATTTTTTTTTTCTACGATCATTATTTAGCATTTGATTCTGGTTTAGAAAAGATTTTGTTTGGGAAAAGTTTCAGGTTTTCTTCAATAAAAATCGAGTTCCGCTCAAAGCATTTTGTAGTGACAGCAGAAGTTTTAAATTGTTTCTGAACTCAAGTACATGCCGGAAATAAAAGACTATTTGATGCTTAACTTCGTTGTCGATTTTCCACTGACGCCAGACGACAGTGTTCCAACCTCGTTATATAGAAACTTGATGAAACTTCCATTTCAAAAAAGCAAGCGTTTATTCACAAATGTAAGAAATATTTTGTTACAGAAATTAAAATTTGGTAACTCTGACATTAGTAAGAGATATGCTGAATATTTTCGGCCCAACAGAACGAGCAATTCCAGAAAAATAATTTCTCATATTTGGTCAAGGAAGTAGGTAAGGCCGATAACTTTTAAGCATCCCTATGATTGCTTGCTATTTTCAGTGTAACCTGATAAGGTCTATCACAAAGGATGAATTATTTGCTCGTCCTGGGTAAGACGATAAATTACATCCTGCAGCAAAGCCTCTGATCGTGAGGTTTTGAGGAGCTTTGCAACCACCTATTAATCGCTGTTGTTTCCAAGTTCCTGACCTGGGGTGGTAGCATCTGTTAGGGTCCCAGCTATGGGCAAAGATTTAACCGCCAAAATGGGGTCAAAACTCTATGAAAGTATAAACAATAGATTTTTTATAGTAAAAATAACAGTAAAATATTTGTCTCTCGACAGAAATCCCCTTAACAAAAATGCATCAATGAAACCTGATCTACAGATAGATTTCTTACAAAGAAAACATATTCTATTCTAGGTATCTCCACTATTTCGGCATAAAAAAAAAATTATATTTAAGTTTAAAATGAATTTTTTACAACGAAAAAACGTTCTTGAAGATTTTATTTTAGCTTTAAAAAAAGTTTAATCATTAAATTTATGATTTCCATTAATTAAACAATTCTGGTGTATTTCAGATAGAAACTATATACATTTGATTGTCAAATTTAAATTAAAATTTTAAAATTTTCTTAATTTTAAGAAATTTGTAAACAAACACAAATTTATTGATTTTGAAAATATTTAAAAAAATTTTTTAGTAAAATTAAAAAAAATTAAAGTTAAAGTAATCTGATTTGAAAGAAATCTTTCTTACTTATAGCATAAAAAAATAATATACAACCAATTATTAACGAGCGGTCCTGTTCATCTGATCAAACTATTGATGGATTGTTGAATGACGAACCGATGACAGCTACTACTGATGACCATAAATGACATAATTTTTAAGTCTGATTTTTTTTAAAAAATATTCTATTTGAGTATGACACACACTAATGGAAATACAATACATAAAATAAAATTATTTAGTGAAATAGTAAATGAAAAAAATAAAAAATAATTTAAAATTTAAAGTTTACACTTTTAAAGCTGAACGGAAAACACAATCTCTAAGAAACGAAATGTTTTGAAAAGGCCACGTAAAGGGACAAAACACTTAGATCACGTGACCTTGTTATAATAATGGCAATTTCTGTATATCATACATGGAAATAAGGAATGTATTAAGTAAAAAAATACAACATAAAAAATTATTTTTTAAAAAAGTAGCGCAACTAAATTTATTAAACTTAGCAATTTTGGACTCGTAAATTTTTTTCCACTTAATTACTACATCACATCGAAGAACCCTCCTAATACAGAGCTTTACACGATTTTAAACTATTATGAATTATTATAGTTAAAATTTCTTAAAAAACGAAAAAAATTCTTGTAAAAATTAATTATTCATCAGAAAAAAATATTTCTTCAGATAATAATGTCCTTAATATTACTTATTTACAAAAGCAATTAAAAGCTTTTCTAATTAAGTAATATCATAGTTTTATTGGATTCATTATTTTTCAATTCAGAGTAGATTTTCAGTTAGATAGCTCAAATTTGAAAAAAAAAAAGTAGGTTATTTACCATCTTCGAAGACTCCTACTTTTAACAAAAAAAAAAAAAAATTCAGGAACCAAAAACGTTTTGGGCGAAATTTCATTAAATTAAGCAAATGTGGGGTAACATATTTTAAAAAAATTATATTTTTTACCAAAAGTTTCTAAAAAAATATTTCAAAAATAATTTCATTCATTTGTGAGTAAGTCCTGAAAATCTCATTAAAATCGGACAATTACTTGATTTTTACAAGAATTTCCAAATCAATATGTTTTGAAAGGAAAAAAATCGCAAAAAAAAAAAAATGTTATTTTCTGTGACGCCGCGATGACTTAAACAAAAGAAGAATTTAACCAAAATTTCGAACGTGTTAGAAAGGATTAAAAAATTTCAAAAAATAATTAAAAATACTTTGGTCTTTCATCTTAATAATAACATAAGCATTTTGACGATAAAACTTTATTTTAGTTAAGTTTGTGGCATTTTTCATTACGCTATGTGCTGTTTTCCCGCGAAAACAGTGAACATGCTTATTCTATTCTTACGAATCTATCCTAAAAATCATGCCGGAATTAAATTAACTATTTAGGTGTTGATATACCATAAAACAAAATAAACCAATAACCAAATTATTTGACTCAATTAAATAATATCTTAAAATACAAAATTTTCATTCCTTTAGAGCAAATATTTTTTTCTGATGCTGCCTAGATATTTTCCTTATTTCTCAGTTGAAAGTAATCAGGACAAAGACAACAGCAGTTTCATGGCTAAGTTGTTTTGAGTAGATTGAATTAACCATCGGATTCATTTATATTGTTATGGGACTGTCATTTTTAATGTTTTTCTTTTAGTTGTCTGGTCACTGGTTTCATCGTTTCTGAAAAGCGTTCTGTTTTTATCCAGATAATGGCCAGCGATTAACTAGAAAGGGTTTTTCACGGTAGAATGAAATATCTGTTATTAGATTGATGATATTCCTTGTGTTTGCGTTTTCTTCGTTTTTGTAAACAGCTTATTATCCAGATTTCTCTAAACAATATAATAAAAAGAATTACCGTTCCTTATTCGAAGAAAACTCCGCCATCAATCCCCCAAAAAAAAAAAAACTCATGTCGTTTAACAATCAAACAGAAATGCTTTAACAGAGGACGGAATGTGCGATACAGATACCTTACAAAATCTAAGCAAAGTATTAAGTAACAGAAATATTTCTTGAGAAACAAAGGAAAGATTACTAAATTTTTACGTAATAAAAGTCCTCCTATATGACAGGGAATGTCGGACAATACTCTCATAGTTGAAGAAGAGATTTTAACCAAGAGAAAAAAATTCTACAGGAGGATGATGAGGATGCCATGAATCGAACATATGGCCAACGAAGAAGAATGTAAACGAAAAGGATACTTATATTTAACACCAGAAAACGACAGTTGAAATTTCTATACTACGTAATCAGAAACAGAGGCTTAAAAATTTGAAACTCACATGATCGATTGCAGGCATGACAGAGGAAAACAACGCCTACCCCCCCCCCTTAGTGAGCTTGAGTAAATGGATGGTGGAAGAAGCTTTAGGAGAGATAAAAAAAAAACAAAATGTATTAAGAGCTACAAAGGACGGAATTGTGGAACGTCGTGAGCATTCAATGTCCTGAAGGTCCACGGTATAAAGAATATGAAGTAGCGAAAATGTTTTGCAATATGCTGATAGCTTTATTTTCCCTTTGAATTTTTTACATGACCCGAGAGTCTTAGTATGATTAGCATATAAATGAATATAATATGAGAGCTGTTAATAAATAAATAGAAATGACAGTAAGGTGTCGACAGCAGCAGCAGTAATGAAAGGGACGCCTCGGTGAATGCTGACAATCCTGACAGGCAGCAGCAACAATGTCAGCAGCAGGCACATTAGTTTTAAAACTTCTGAACGCAGTATTGTCTACAAGTTTTACACTCAGATTTACTCAGGATTGTCCTACCGGCTAACCAGTATGGGAATGAAGTCCGAATGAAAATACTGCAAGTAATGATAGTTTGCTTGAAACATGAGATCCTTACTGACACTAAAATCGTTTTTCGAGGATATGCCCGACTGCAATGGGTGTGCATCATAATGTATCCCCCCCTGTCTTTTTATGCTGTTATTAAAATTGAATCTTTTCACTCTATATTCCTTAGTCTTAAGGGTATTATTTTTAAAATTAAATTAATTTTGTAAAATAAGTGTTTTATCATTAAGCTGCGCAATTATTGATGTACCTGGGTTTAGAGTGTGTCTCACACAAGCTCATGCAAGAACTGTACTTGGATATTCACTGAGGAAGGGAGTCAAGTGAAGGGTTGACCTGCGGTAAATTCCTAGACGCCGAGTACAGAATGACGACCATCTGCATCCGGGTTGAAAGCGTAAGAATGTTCCACATGATACAGATTGATATATAATCATCTATCCAAGCCGTAAGAGTGGTAGAGTCTCTCAGACATCGCAGACGAGAATGTATGGTCCACGTTTTGGAGCAAGCCCCCCCCACACTGTCCGACGTCTCTTCACCTTCCAGCTATGGGTTAAATATCATTACAGTAGGCTTTTTGGGTGGCAACTGTTTTAAGAGAGTGTGTGAGAGATAGATAGATAGATAGATAGATAGATAGAGAGAGAGAGAGAGAGAGAGAGAGAGAGAGAGAGAGAGAGGGAGACAATTTTGAGTTGCAAATCTTTGTGAAGGCAACCGTAAACGACTTCAATATCTTTCACATGAATGCATGGCAACTCATAGCTCTTAAAAAAAATTCATCTGTCGATAACTAACGTTCTGAAATCATATAACGTTTTCTTATTTTATATAAAAGACGTTATTTTTATGAAAACCTTATATTATTATTGTTACGGATTTTTTAATGGCCTTTTGTAACTTTAAATGTACTTTTTCTATATTTACAATAGGTATTCATGAGATTCTGCTTGCGTATTCGCGTATTCCTGTCTAGTTTGTAAAGTTTGATTGATTAGTGTGTTTAACGGCATATCAACATCATATGGGTTACTTAATGCCGAAATCTAATTTTCTTAGAAGCATTGAAGTAATAAAAATATGATATATGTTATTATGCTTTCACAATAGCATACATGGTAAATGATACTCAGCTTTTGTGCATATCTATGTTTGTGTGGTCATAATTACTAGAGGCAGTGATATGTGTGTTTTATGCTGTGCTTTTGTTGCAGTTATATCATGGAATACAATTTAATTTCTTTAAGTATTGTAGGATATTATTCGGATTAATGTCTTGATAGAGTTCTTTCATGTTGGAGGTGAAGGGTTGGTTAATTTTGTTTAGCTTCACATCAACCACTATGCGTTATTTAATGACGAAATCAAAATATTTTGAACACAATTTTATGGCTTCAACTAAACATACTTGGAATGCAACTGTGTGCCTTCATATATAGATAAAATGTATTGCTGGCTATATTGCTATAAAATGTATTGTTGGTCATTTTGCTATAAAGTGTATTGCTAGTCTTTCTATTATAAATTTTATTGTTGCTCATTTTGCTAGAAAATATATTGTTGGTCATTTTCCTATGAAAATGTATTGCCGGAAAATCTACCATAAAATATATTGCTGGTCATTTTGATTTAAAATTGTATTGTTGGTAATTTTACTATAAATATATATTTTTATATTTTCATAGTGTTTTTGGTGGGGAGCATTATTTTCCCATAGCTGAGACCCTAACAGGTGCTACCACCCAGGGTCAGGGTATATTTGGAAATAATAGCGATTAAGAGTTGGTTCCACCCACACTCAAATCCCCCAATCTCCCGATCAGAAGCCTTGTTCCCGGATGTTGTCAATCGTCATACCCAAAACTAGGTTTGTAGATTAATATTTTGTATTTTACAAGTGTTTTGTATTAAATTTTGATTTCAGTCTTAGTCTTTACATTATAAATGGTGTTCCAATACCTTGGACCGATTTTAAATGTTAATTAAGTTTAAGCGTCTAATGAATTTTTTTCTTTTTCTTTCAGATTTGGCGGACATTTGGGCGATATTATTTTTCACACTTAATTACTTCTCGCCTGTGGAACTCCCTCCCCATTTATTGTTTTCCTGATAGCTATGATCTACAACTATTCAAATGTAACGTCAATCAACGTCTCCAGATGCCTTGATCTATCCCCTAACATTCTCTTCATCCTTTCCGCTATCAATCCCCTTTGTTCTCGCTCCAACTCTGTAACCCCTTGCGTGCTAATGGATTCCCGCCTTGCTTGTTGTTGAATGCTTAAAAAAATTGCCATAACTTAAATAACAATGGAGAAATAAATAATTTTTCACCAATTATACTGATTTATTTACTGTTGATTTTGATCCGTCTTAATGAAACACCCTTATATATAATCCGTCTTAATGAAACATACTTTATTTGGTTTGGAAGTAGAAAGTGGGTCCTATAGACTCCCTGTGGAATATAAGGCCAGAGATTATTAATATTACAAAGATATCATTGCATACTTATAATCATAACAATATCTGTATATGTTTGTGCGATGAATTGTACGCTTGAAATTATAGGTTACATAAGCAGCGAGTACGTATTTATTCACCGAAACTTTAATATATTAAGTAATCTTTCTCTTTTTACCTGGAAGGAATTATTTGAACCAATTACAACAGTAATACTTTCCATAAATAATATCAGTGGATTATAATCTGTGTTCTTTAGCACATTGATAAATCATTTTGGATTAAAAAATTCTTCAATTATTGTAAATCTTTTCAGGGTATTTTTCAGTTTAAATTTATTTCTTTGTATTTACAATGATTTTATAAAATGTTGAGTGATTCAATTCACGTTTTATTTGCTTGTCCCTCTCAGCAAATTTTATGATTTTTACCAAAGCAAACAATTTCCTCCGGTTTCACCCGGAATTTATAGCTTTTACCTCCTTTTCAATAATACCTCTATTATATTTCATTTTCTTTCTTCTTCTTTTCTTCCTTCTATTGACAATCACTTTATTGCTTTTGTCTATGAACACTTTTTGAATTCGTTTGATTGGCTCGTTTTTATATTATTATAACAGCAAATATCAATCTCAGTTATGAGACAAACCCTCTTATATTTAGACGAAGTATAAAACGTTATCGGTTGATATTAAAGCAAAGAGAAAAACATTTCAGTTGACGTTTATATATAAGCGTATATAGATGACTGGATAATAAAAGTACTATTAAAAACAACCATTTCACAATTACTTGCCGATCTTATTGCGACTCAAACGCAAAGATAAACATTACAAACTAGGTAATATTTAATATCTTATTCACAAATCTTCAAGAGACAATAACAGTTTATCTCTCTCTCTCTCTCTCTCTCTCTTGTTTTTAATGTCTGAATGGCAAATAAGTTTTATAGAAATTTTATATTTGGTAAAATCTCTTGGATTATTTGTAAGCTGTAGAAATATTCCACAATTCAAATTTTTCCATTTTCGGTTGCCCGATGACACGCAATATAACAGGAAAATAATTGCTTGCAGTTTGGGTCGCTTTGTGAAGGAAACATTCGTTGGCTTGCCCCAAAAGTTAGAATATTACATACGAGCTAAGTTAAAACTCATGCGTTCAGTGTAAACCGTCTTTAAAGACTCGAATACTGATGTTACATGATCTTTAAAACTTGATATCTGATAGCCATATATCAAATCAGTGTTGAATGAAATAACTATATAAAGATAATAATAATTTCACATTTATTAGCTAGTCCTGCGTATGATGATAAACTACATCCGGCAGCAAGGCTTCTAGTCGAGAAATTGGACGTTTTGAGGAGATTGGAACCATCTCTAAATTGCTGTTGTTCCCAGGTCCACCCTGATCCTGGGTGGTAAAACCTGTTAGGGTCCCACTAATGGGAAAATACCGAACCCCCAAACAATGTGAAATAGTAAAAATGCTTTCTTCTTCTTCTCTTTTTGCTTCGCTTCGCGAACGAAGATTTATGAAGTGGACTGTCCACGGCGACTGCAGGCACGCTGATGGCCGACAAGGTCGATACAGGACAGGCAAGTCCGGCCGCAGCGAATGCAATTAAAGGTTTGGTCTGGTATAGCTGCTGAGGCTTCCCGGTCCTTCCTCACGCGACGTTTCTCTTTCAGCTTGGCCCTGCGAGAGTCCTCAAAGGTGGAGACGGCTTTGAGGCTTGACGGTCAGAAGCAAGTGTCGACAACTGGCGATGGTCAGTGTGGCAGGTACCGAGGGACTTCTTGAGGGAGTCCTTATAACGCTTCCTTGGTGCCTCTCTGTCACGTTGACCAGTGGAGTGTACGCCATACAGGGCTATCTTGGGCAGGCGATGGTCGTCCCCTAGAGACGTGCCCTGCCCAGCGTAGTTGTGACTTCAGCAACATGGCTTCAATGCTGGTATTTTCAGCCTGTTCGAGAACATCAACGTTGGTGCCGTAGTCACTGCAGTGAATGTTGAGGATGGTACGGAGGTAGCGCTGATGGAAGCGCTCAAATGTATTTTTATAGTAAAAATACCAGCAATAAATTTTGATATTAAAAAAAAGTTAACAATAACAAACAGAGGTTAATATGTCACTAAGCAAAATCAACAAAGCCATACCAAACCAAACAAGACATTGATTAGTGTGGCTAATGTTAGATGAATAAAATTTAAATTTGTTATTCTTTGATAGCTTTAGTAAAACTATCGAGGAGAGCCCGTGGATCATAAGAATTTGTATAATTATACAAAGATTGATTCGAAGAGATGAAGTCTTTTTGGTTATAGTTTGTTGTTGGACTCTCCGGTCTTATTCAACTGGCCTTAAGATTCTAACGATGATATGCTGTTAACAAGAAACAAAAATCGAAGTGACAAAACAACAAATGGCTTTAAGACGTGTTTGAGATAAATAAAAAGGTTTTATTTTCCGTGACTTACAAATTCCGATCATTCGCACGTTAGTAGGGAGACTGAGAGTTCATTCGGGTTATAACCTAAGGTGGTAGTCGAGATAGACACGTGGAGAAAATCACCACGCAGATGACTTGAGTGAGATAGATCCGTGATTCGTTGTACGTATTATAAGACAGAATGTATGGTTATCAACAAATGGATTAGCACAAAATGCAAATGAAAACTCGGGGATGCTAAATTCAAACGAGTGGAAAAATTTAAATATTTAGGAAGTGCTCTAACAGAGCAAAAAGTACGACACTGAGATGCGAATACATATTGGGATACCCAAAGATGCATTCCCAAACCTAAGCCCTGCATTAAAATACAGAAAAACTTCATTAGAAACGAAGACAAGTGTACTGAGCTGTTACGTGATATTTGTTCACCTATATGGCAAGCGAATGTTGGACAATCTTCTCAAGGATGAAAAAAAGTCTTGAAGCAACAGATATGTGGTTCTACAGAATGATTTTAATGATACTGTGGGTTGAACACGTGAGAAACGCCGAGATTTTGGAGATAATGGAAACAAAAAAGGAAACTTATACTTAACACCAGGAAGAGGCAGTTAAAATTTCTGGGGCACATAATAAGGAAAGAAGGCTTAGAAAATCAGATACGCTGAGGACAGATTGAAGGAAAGCGGCTCAGAGGAAAGCAGCGCGTAACGTAGTTGATGGGATTTAATGAATGGATGGTATAACAAGGTTAGGAAGCAATAACGAAAACAGAACTTA